TTACGTATTTGGGCCGATTTAATATATCTATTAATGCATATCATAGCTTTTACGTATCGTTTAATATATCTATTATAATTGTTTTTACGTATTTGGGCGTTTTAATATATCTTTTAATGCGGTGATATCATTGTCTTAACGTATTTAGGCCTTTTGATAAATCATTTAATGCGGTGATCTAATTGATTTTGACTTTCACTTCTGTTTCACACGCACAGCGGAATCAGGACACATACGGTTTCCTTGTTGACGGAGAGCAGATCAGGACCTCACTCTACAAGGTGGAATCCGGGATGGGGAACTTCACCTGTGCTCTCCAAAGGCTCAGTGTGGTATGTACTGTATATGCTATGTTATTGTGGTAGGCACTCTTCTCGTGGGCTCTGTAGTGTCGTATATACTGTTATTGTGGTAGGCACTCTTCTCGTGGGTCCTGTAGTGTCGTATATACTGTTATTGTGGTAGGCACTCTTCTCGCGGGCTCTGTAGTGTCGTATATACTGTGGTAGGCACTTTTTCTGTAGTGTCGTAGCACTGTTATGTGTAGGCACTCTTCTCGGGGTTCTGTAGTGTCTGTTCTCTCTGAATTGGTTGTTCGCGGGTAATTGCTATTCTTGAGTTGTTCTGAAGTTCGGTTTGTCTCTCATGTTTCTGTCTTTAAGATTCTAAATGTATGGCTCACTCATATAGAGAAATTCATCTTCATATCAATGGGCCATTACTATTATAAATTGCTTAGGATATTCCAACTTTTTGCTCAATTGACACGGGGAACAGTCTATGATTTCTCCCCCACCATTTCTTTTTGCTTTAATTCTACCTTTTTCGTTGGTTATGATTTTCGTTTTGAGAAACAGAAAAAAAAATCAATACTATATTAATCAGTGCCTATTACTACTAATATGAACGTTAATCATTCATTATATCAAGTCATATCTACCGCTGATAACCATCTAATTAACGATATACGTACCTTTTCAGATTGACAGCAACTTGAACATCATTCCACAAAACATAAACAGGCTTGTCCTTGAACGTGTCACGGACAGGAATCTCAGGCAAGATCTTCTTAGCGGAATCAACTTCTGTCGGGAGATGGTGGTAAGTGGGCCATATTCTTCTTGTCTTTTCTCTGTGAATTCTTGATTGTTTTTCTTTTTCTTTTTTTTTTTTTGGTTACCTTTATCAGTCTCGCGTTTATTGTTGACTCTTGTCTCTCTCTTGCAATTTTCTTTTTCTTTGTTTGACCCTCATAATGTCCATCCATCCTACCGAACTTTCATTTTTACATTGTCTACCGATTTTAGTCTCTCTCTCTCATCATCATCATCCATCATCATCATCATCATCATCATCATCATCATCATCATCATCATCACCATTCATCATCATTATCATTATCATCATCATCATTATCATCATTATCATTATCAATCATTATCATCATCACTTACATCTCTTTACCTCCCTTTATCCTTCTCTTCCACCGAATCCCCCTATCCATCCACGCCTTCCCGTCCCTATTTCCCTTTCCCTCTCTCTTCTGTTTTATCCTTTGCTCTCTCTCTCTCTCTCTCTCTTCTCTCTCTCTCTCTCTCTCTCTCTCTCTCTCTCTCTCCACACCGAATCGTGACCGGAAGCCCTAATGAAGAGGTCATTAAGGAGCAAATCTCGGTCTTCACTCGGCTCTTAAATTCTCTCGTGTTTGTGCATATCCCGGCCACCGCAGAGGGACCTTCCTGGAAGACCTTCGGAGTCCTAAATGAAGTGTTCTCTCGCTTTAAGATTTAAGATGTTATCGCTGTGTTATGTTATCGTTAGAATATATATAAAGGAACGTGTTGTTATCTTTATCTTTCTTTCTATTTAGCAATGTCTGCCTGAGGACACGGTCGGCACAGCCCTGCGATACAAGCTTCAGCGGATCCTCGCCTTCATGAAGTGTGAGAAGAAGACCCGCCTGGATGCCTGTCTGAAGCACGACCTCCGGCAGAACATCCAGCGCTTCGACCTCTCCGCCCTCCCTGACGACGGCGGGAGGACCGGGCCCTTGGAGAAGCTCATGACCATCCTCGTGGGGGCGGAATCCCTCGACCAGCTGGAGCTTTACTGAGCGTCTCTCGGGCTGTTTCCCCGTGAAGGTGTTTTAGTCTCTGCGCCGTCAGTTATTCCCATTTTCTCTCTCGATTTCCCGCTTTCTTTTTCGAATTTCTACGTCCTGTCTATGTTTTGGCTCCCGTTTTCTGCGGGAAAATACTTCCTGTACCATGAACCGATGTATTCTATCCGGATTTATCCGTATAACTTCAACGTTCATGTTATGGTCTGAATCCATGACATAACGTTCAATGTTTCTTCCGACTGTAAATGCAAAGACTGGATATTTGCATGTAATGGACTGCCTGATTGTCGACGGGTATCTAGATGACAATAATAAATCACACAGTAATAGATATGTTACTGTGTTTATCTGTATCGTAATAAACATTCTCACAAGAAA